TGTTTCCATATATATATATATATATATATATATATATATATATATATTATAAAAGTATATACGGATATGAGAATTAGGGTATGAAATACACACACTTTGTGCATATTGTGCATTTTTTTCTTTTTTTTTTGGGTCTTGTCTTGAAAAGCACACATATGTGGTGTTATATAATATTAATACTATTCTGGTTCTTTTTTACTATTCTTATTTGTTAGGATCTGTACGTATGTATGTCTATATTCTCTTTCTTTCTCCCATCTATCTTTAAAGAGCACACACCCACACACAGAGACAGATAGATAAAGAGAGAGAGAGAGAGAGAGAGAGAGAGAGAGAGACTGAACATAGAAGAATAAAAGAAAGAAGAAAGAGTTTATTCTCTCTCTTTATATCTATATATCTATATCTGTATATATCTCACTCTCACGTTTCTCTGCTAAGCCATGCGAGAGTTGACGAAACTCCCAGCCAACTGCGACCGCCTCGTTCTTCTTGACGAAACGACTCTGGCGGCGTGTGGAAAAGAGAATGTCTACTTCTGCACACTTCAATCCTCCACAATATCAACAACAACAACAACAACTTCTTCTTCTTCCTCTTCTGCTGTTGTTGTGATGCCGGTGGATTTACCAAAACACGTGGATTGTGTGGCCCCGTGGCACCCGCCAGGCGCGTCGCTGCAGCACTGCGGTGTATTTTACACCATTGATGGAAATGTACACTTCCGCCGCACCGCATCTCAACAACAACAACAACAACAACAGCAGCAGCAGCAGTCATCTGTACTTGAGTTACCATCAGACTGCGGTGTTGTGAGGGAAATGGAGGTCTTCTTTGGCACAACATTAGTGCTCCGCACCGCCAGCGATGTGTTGTGCTACGCCTTGGATCCCACCAGCACTGTTGAGATCACACAACTCCCACTCACCGGACGATTGGCTCTCCCACAGCACAAAACAACAACAACAAGAAAAAGAAAAGAAGAAAAGGAAGAAAACGAAACGGTGGTGATGCTGTACGCCTCGCCATCGCCCATACACTCGGCACAAATGCAGGTGGACGCCGATTGTACAATTGCTGTTGTGCAGTACTGCCGTGCGTTGCGTTGTGTGGATGTGTTGTTGCTCGCCGTTACTCCCTCGCGGGTGGCGGTGCTGCGGCGAACACGCAACGGCGGTCTGTCATTACCGCAGAACATCAATGAATTGCAGTGTTGGTCCGTGAACTGGGCAATGCAAGAGTTACTGTTCCTACACACAGATCTCAACAAGAACAACAAGAATGAGAAGAAGAGCCATACATGTGTGTTGCGGCTGGAGACAATGGAGTGGGGACCGACACCACCCGCCACCATTCCGCAATCCATCACGGCTCTGCAGTACACACACACAGGCGAGATGTGGGCCCTCGCAGAGAGAAATGAGAAGTGTGTGAAGTTAATTAACTGCACGGCGGGATCAGTCCTGCAGGAGGTGGAACTGCCACAGACTGCACGAAGCGATAATGTACGCCTGGCCGTATGGGGGGCAAGTGTGTTTGTTCTCTTCGGTAAGATCATTGTTGAGATACTATCAAACAAGGCAGATACAAACGCCACGACAGGAGGAGGATCTACACTCTGTGATTGGTTGCTTCTGAACACAACGAAAGAGGATTCAAAGAATACCAAACAAATGCGTAAAGAGATGACAAGAGAGATTAATGAAGTTGTGGCATTTGTGGAAGGAGATGTTGGTAGTTCTCGTACAATGATTGTGCGTGATAGCCGCTATGTCTCTTCTACGCCAGACACAACTGGAGTCTATCATCACGCCATACTTGATGCCATTGAGGGAAATAATAAACGCACGAGTATAAGCAGGAATGCCTCTCTTGTGAAGTACATTGCTGTGGCGCAATCCCTACATCCCGCAACTATTCTGCGTGTATTGCGTGTAGAGGATGCCAGTCTGCGTCTCTCACTGGCTGTACTGCTGGCCTCAAAGCCATCACTGACGGCGGGCGGTGTGAGATTGTTGGAGTGGGGCACACCCGTACATTCCTTCTGCCGCGCCATGGGACAAATGGAAACAAAACGATTTGCTGCTGCACTCTACGAAAGTGCACTTGCAGCTCTGGCGGCTGGTGCACTTGGCGCTGTTGAGTTTCTCTGCGCCGTTGCTGATGTTGTGATGATTGTAGCTGTTGGAAACAGGAGCAGCAGTGCGGTGGTGGTATCTCGTGAGGAGGCCCAATTGGAGGAAGTTATCGCACAAGCACTTGGTGTACTTTCATCCTATGCCCAGTGGGCGTTAGCAACAGCACCAGCCCTCGGTATCATTACAGCACATGTTGGACCGCAGCGTGAAGGAAAGAAGGAGGCGGCCGTACGTGATCGTATCGCACACGCCATCAACACATCACGTAGTGTACAGATTGAACCAATGGTACTGGGACGGCGATGATAATATAGAGGATTCACAAAGAGGAAGAAGTATATACGTTTCTCTTTGTGTGTGTCTCTCTCTCTATGTGTGTGTGTGCCTATTGAGGAGAGAAAAAGAAATGGAAAGTGAATGAGAGAAGGGTCCTTTTTTTTTTTTTGTTGTTGTTGTTGTTTTGTAGGATCTAAATCGTCTAAAACTCGACAAAGTAATCTGCTAATTATTTTTTTTTTCTTTGTTTGTTTTTCTACGTTTGGTCCAGCAGTAAGTCTGAGATGCCTTTACCCCTGGTGTAAGGGATACTGTTTTCTTTTTTTTTTTTTCTTTTTTGACACATTTGTTCTGCTTTCTTTTTTTTTCTTTTTTTCTTCCTACCCATTGTTGCTGTAAAAGAAGGGTGATTAGGTAGGAACAAAATAAACCGCGGTGTGTGTGTGTCAGTGAGTTTGTGTTTCTTACGCATTCATTCACACACACACACACAAACTCACACAGACTCACAGACTCACTCTCTCTCTATCTGATTGTTTGTTTGTTTGTTTGAGTAGTGGCGGGAGAAAGAAAAAAAGAAAAAAAGAAAAAAAAAATAACATCACACGCGATGGCTTCCGTTGGCAAAGGCGCCATTCAAGTAGAACCACGACAAGGATATTATGTGAACTTTGATGTGCACACCACGTACTCTATTCCCTTCACGGTGCGCAACGTGGCGCGGGAGATGTGCACTGTGCGCTTCACTCCGCCGAGCAATCAACGTGTGTTTCGCATCAACACAACATCCGTGCGGTTGGCGCCGGGACTCACGCACGTCATTGAGGCGGAGTTCACCACCCACGAGCCGCGGGACTATCAAGACAGTTTTGTTGTCTTCACCGCGGGGGAGTCCATCACGGTGCCGCTGGTGGCGAAGTGCTGCCCGGATCTCGAGTTCCCGACGACTGTCAACTTTGGGCGGGTGGAGCGCAACCGGCGGGGCCTCTCGAAGTTGTTGCCCCTCACAAATCGCGGCCGGCGGGAGATGCGAGTGAGTGTGAAGCCGCTCGCTGACGAGAGGGCGGTGGTGCAGGTGTCGCCGGCGGTGTGTGTGGTGCCGCCGCTGAGTACCGCCAACGTGTACGTTGAGCTGCTCCGCCTCGATGTGGGGAAACACCAGCAGCGACTGCAGATCTCCGTCGCCAGCGAGGAGGAAGAACAACAACAACAACAACAACTTCCGGAGGTGATGGTGGAGGTGGATGTGGTGGACTGCCGGGGGGCGTTGATTGATCCCCACACCGGGGACGAACTGCACGCACTGAACTTTGCCAAAACATACGCCGGCACAAAACGCGTGATGGGATTGGAGGTACGCAACGAAAGCGAACAACAAGTGAGTTTCGCGTTTCGCGCCAGCGGCGAAGCGGGAAGCGGGCCGTTTGGTTTCAAACCACAACACGGCCGTTTAGGTCCACATGAAACAAGACACATCACTGCTGTCTTTGCACCGCCCGTCACACACGCCGCAAAGGGATGGTCCAGTAATAGAGAGAAGGAACATGCATCGCAGCAGAAGTACGAGGCACTCTTCTCACTACTCTTTGTAGAAACAGAGAATACACATACGGTACGAGTTACAGGAACAAGTACCACAACCGTTGCATGGATTTCACAACCCGTGATTGACTTTGGAGAATGCCCAATGAATGATCATCGTGATGTAGTGGTGCAGGTGCATAACGGGCATGAAGATATGCCATTACATTTTCTCTTTCCACGTGTGGCACACTATACTATCACTCCTATGGAGGGAAAAGTCCCACCAAGTGGTTCATGTGATGTACGATTGACGTTTCGTCCACGACGATTGGGTACTTTTAAAGATCAGATCGCTGTTGTATTTAATGAGACAGAGCGACAAACCTTAGAATTCTCAGGTATCGCAACTACACTTGCACCACAGCCAAAGACTGTTGGTGGGATTGATAAGTTGCCAGAAGACTTTGAATCCTCTTTAAAAATGGCAAAACCACTAAGAGATGAACCACGACGTACACTTACTAATCGATCAATAACCGCTATGGCAGCTACAGCAACAACAAATACAGTACTGAGTGCTGTTGATATTGGTATGGTACCAGCAGAGGGATTAGAACCACCAGAACCAGAACTCCCAGCTGTCACATTCAAGACGAAATCAGTTAATGGTTTTGCGTTAGGACGTGGTGGAGATCACTTTTCACCTGTTACATTAGATGCTAAAACACTCATTAGAAGAGTTTTCAAAGAGGCACCAACCAATGCTGCAGAAAGACGTGATTGTCGTAGGGAATTACAACCAATGGATCTTCTTCGTATTGCCGCTCCCATAAAAGTTTTGGATTATCATCGTGTGACAGTAGGCTCCACATCCACCAAAACATTTTTTCTCTATAATGGAACTTCAGCTTCGGTATTAGCGGTAATGCCAATGGAGGAAACACATCTTTCTTTTTCGCCCCAATCACAAGTAATACCAGCCGGTAGAGCCGCTGCATTTGATGTGAATTTCTATAGTTCAGCAGTCCAGACGTATCAGCAAATTGTGCAAATAACGATTAATGGACATCACACATTACGTTTCACTCTACAAGCAGATGTAGTACCGGTAGAAGTTTCCTTATCAAGAGATGAAGTAACACTGCATTTTGTAGATTTTAGCGAAGACCCTGTTGCACATGCATCTGTCACTCTCTCTAATCTCGGTAACAGTGACGCAGTATACAAGTGGGTATTGCCAGATGGTCCCTTCACTATCTCACCAATGAGTGGATCAATTTCCCCAATGAATAAAGTGACAGCGCAATTAATGTTTAGTCCACCACAGGGTGTTCTAAACGCTGAGGCAAAGGCAGAATTACACGTAAAGGGTGGAACGGCAGTGAAAGTGCTCAACTTAAAGGGAGTTATCGCCCCTACATTGTGTGTTTGGGGTGGTAGTGCAACAGGAAATGAGTATACAGTTGAGTTATCTGGAGTACCTGCTGGGGTTTCAACTACTGCAACGGTTATATTACAGAATAGAGGTCGCAACAGTGCCTTCTTCTCTCTTGATTCACTTCCAGATTGGGTAACAATAACACCAGTGAGTGGACGTATAGGAGCAGGTGAATCTGAAGAGATTACAGTCGCAGTTCAACATGACAGTCCGGGATTATTACAATGTGTTGTGCCCTGCTGTGTGCGTGGAATGAAGCGACCATTGAAGTTGCATCTTTGCGCGATGGTATCGGTCGCACCATTGAGTATTTTATCACCGGAGCGTCAGAATGGTGAGATCCTGCTGGTCTTTGATACTATTTACGTTGGTACAGAAAAGGCACTTCCGGTTCGTTTCAGCAACACTGGAGATGTAGCGGCTGTGATCTATGTAGATCTCCAACAACACGCAGAGTACACACTGCAATGTCCAGAGAATAGTGCCGCATCACTGGAATGGCGTGGCCGTGGGGATATTGTGCCTGGTGTAATGTACATCACAATTCCTTCCCATTGTGAGGCAACAGTGTTGTTTGTATTTAAACCAAAAATTGCCGGAACGGATGAACGTTTCTTCGTTACTTGGCGACATGTGGGCGCCGGTGAGGCAAATCCACTACCACCACTCGCTATTGCTGGATGTGCCGTGTTATCAAGAGTTCGACTGCAGCGAGAAGTACTAGACTTTCCACTCACCGTCGTGGGAGCCCCCGCTGTGCCTATGATGTTAACAATAGAGAACACCTCCAGTGAGGTAGTGCATTGGGAACTATTTCTAGATCGGGGCCTTGAAGATGAAAGCTATGGCAATCGTCCTAATAGTAATACTAACAACAAAAACAAAATAAATAATATCAACAATAACGCCAAGAACATTGATGGAAATGATGTACCATTTCACATAAGCCCCGATAGTGGAACGTTGGGGCCTCATGCATCACAATTATTGCATGCAACATTTATGCCAACTCTGATGGGAGAACGAAAGGCGCGTTATTCTGTATTCCTTGATGGTGATTTAAAACATCCGTGTGCTCAAGTTCAAGTTACAGGGTTCGCCACACTCCCACGCATCACATGTGATAGGAGTGAACTTATCTTTCCAGCAGTTCCACTTAACGTGAATGTTGTGGAGACTATGTACATAGTAAACGACGGTTTTGATTCTATTGAAGTATACTACAAAAGTGTAGAACCAGGACCACTTACCGTAACCTTTCCCCGTGGATCTGTAGCCAAATCTTCTGGTTGTATTCCTGTACGTGTTGAATTCTGCTGTCCGAAACCAGTAACCTTTTCATCATCTATTACATTTACCTCAGATAAAGGCGAGTCCCTCATAATTCCTATTACAGGAACGGCTGTTAACTCTTACATTACTACCGCTCCGTATGTAGTGTACCAGCGTGGTCGTTCACATATTGATACTGGTACTACTATTAAATCTATAGAAGATGAGTGGGTACACCCACTGCTGTATCGTGAGGACGCCCCCGTTACAAACACCAATGCTGTAAACAATACTGAAGGAGTAAGAAAACAAACGGAAAGTTTACAATCTGAACAAAATCCTTTTAGTTTTGTGGATACCATTGGACTAGAAATGTACTCTCACTATACTATTGAAAATTTACGTTTGTGGCTCAACTACAATGTTTTAAAGGAATCTGTGGATGACTTAATCGGTGCATTACAGTCAACAGATGGACGTATACTTCTTGAGGCGGTTTACCGAATTAGTGGTAAACGACCCAAAAAGATACATGCTTTAACAAGTAAAGAAAAATCATTCACATTACTTGAAACACTGACGTCATATATAAAATCTCGTGGTGGTTGTTTAAGTGATATACGACTTCCTTATTTATTAACATATGAGGCGTATTGCCGTTATCAGGAGAGTTATGGAATGGAGGCAATATCTTCCACTGCCTTTTCAGTACGCGCGAATCACGCATGGATTACTGTCGTCCTACAGTTTATTCGTGTCCTCTATTTACCCAAGTTAGATCTGACATCCACTCTAAAAATGTATCCAGGAATGAAGACATATATTCCACAGCCAGCGTGGAGTTCAGCACCATTTCAGACAGCATTACTTGGCAGCAATGTATTTAGCCCAGAAGAAAGTCTTTTGCTGCGTTGGGTCGCACATAACTTGCAACAGTGTGTAGAAGAGAAATTAATAAAAGGATCAAATAAAATTATTAGACGATTTGAAGACTTTCGTGATTGTTTAGGTTTGATTGCCTCTATTTTATTGTATGTACCATCTGTATCCACACGATTATCACTGGATCGTCTAGTCAAGGATCCAACAACGTCAGTGGATATGGAAAACAATGCCACGGTACTACTATCTGCATTATCGTATTTGGGAGTTCCTCTGCGTGCAACTGCACGTGATATACTAGATTACAGCGGGATTGATTGGTTGCTACTGGCTGCAACACTTTTTATGTATTTACCGCGCTTCATCCCAACGACTGTTATTTCTCTTGAGGGAAAATTACTTGCCCCAATGACGCGAACGGTTGATGTAACAAATACGTCCAGTGCAGCACGTAACTATACAGTGGATATGAGCAATTCCGTTTTTCGTGCTGTTCCACAGGAGCTCAGTGTCGATTCTGGCAGTACGGCAAAACTATTGATTGAAGTAACGCTGCGTTTTAACCGCCGAGCAGAGGGACTATGTGTACTTATTGATACTTCCACAACCCTCATGACAGAACGGGCACCTATTGTGCTTCGTCTTGCTGCAGTTCCAAACAATGAACCACTTCGTGTTATTCACATTCAGACCCCACTCTATACCATTCTCAATCATGATATTCAGGTGGAAAGCCCATTCCCACAGAACTGTGTGGCTACACTTCGGATGGCACAGGAGTATAAGAATGACGGCCCCTATCCTGAAGGGGAATTTGGAAAAACACTACAAGGCGCCTTTAGCACATCCGCCGGGGTTTTGCCCTTCCGTAGTGGTGAATCTACACGGTTGGGATTCCAATTTGCACCGTGTGCTCGTGGTAAGTATGAGGCACGTATTACATTTCACGATGAGCATCAGGGTGAATTTTCATACATTGTCATTGGAACATGTACACTACCCAAACCAGTGGATAAGAGTAGTGTTCGTGGAGAGGCGGGAGAAGAATGTAGCCACACACTTCTCTTAAAATTACAAAATACACCATTTGAGAGAATGTTACGTACATTTGAGGATCAACGTCGAGCACCCGCAACACGAGGTACGAAGGCTTCCATTGTACCTGATCTTGCAGGTATACCGTACAGTGTTTCATTTGTAAATGAAACAGGTGTTGGACCGAATCCATTCTTTCGCGGTCCTGAGACTGTTATGTTCACAGGAGGTGAGTCTCTGACAACACTGACGTATTTTTTTGTACCTAAATACCTTGGGGAGTACAATGGTTTTATTCTCTTATCCTCCAAGTATGATGTACGCAGCATTCAAATAACAGGTAAGTGTGTACCAACCGGTGAGAAGGGTATTCTACGCTTTGCTTGTCCGGCACGACAGTGTATTACACAAGGAGTTCCAGTTGTTAATAACAGCAATGAGAATTGGTTGATATCAGCAACCCTTGAGGGTACAAGTTTTAGTGGTCCAAAGGAGTTACGAGTACCACGTGGGAAACAACGGGATTATCCACTACGATACAATCCCGCATGGATTACATCTGACAAGGGAGGTTTGACACTCTATAACAATGAAACAGGTGAGAGACGTGTATATACACTTGTAGGTGAGGCAGAGGAACCACTATCAGAGGATACTATTACGGTTGAATGTCGTGCACGTGAACGACGTACAGAAGTGTTGACGGTTCCAGATATTAACGGTGCGGATGCTATGTACAATGTAGAGACTGATCTGCCTTTTGCACATGGGGAAGCATCCGTGTTGGTGCGGCGAGGAACGACTGCAAAGTACGCTCTAGTTTTACATCCTATGATGGGTGGTACTTATGTAGGTACTGTTGTTTGCCGCGCTCCTAATGGACGCTATGCATGGTACGCCGTCACAGTCATTGTCAGTTCTCCTGAAAAGGAAGGTACTGTTGATATCAAGACAGATGCACGTACCCCTGTAACAGCTGATGTGAGCATTAATAACCCAATTGATAAACCCCTCCAGTTTACTGTACGTCGTTACGGTAGTGGTTTATTTGGAGAGAACTCTGTTATGGTTGAAGCGAGTGCAGCGGCAGTGTACTCCTTTATGTTTGTCCCATCTCAAACTGGTTCATTCAATGGACGTTTGGTATTTTGTAATGATGTAATAGGTGAATTCTGGTATGATCTAAACATTATTGTAGAGGAAGCAGCACCGGAGGAAATCAAATTTGAAAGTGAGATTGGAGTCCCTGATGTCATGCAAGTACGAATACCGAATAATACTTCAGTTGAACGTAGTCTTTACGTCTCTAATACAAACCCCCGTAATTTCTCTACTGCTCCAATGCTTCTTACCATTCCTGCATACTCCGAATTGACAGTTGATGTCATATATACACCAACTATTGTAGGCCAGAAACAGGAGGCGATGTTAAAGTTGTCTAATCAAGATTTAGGTGAATGGCGTTATGCCTGTACTGGTGTTGGTCTTCCACCTGCAGAGAGTGAACCAGTGGAGTGTGTGTGTGAGGTTTCGGGAAGATTAGCGGTGATGCTCAAGTTCAAGAATCCATTTGAGGCTCCAATGATACCAGAGGCTACTCTTGTTTCTAATTGTGAAGAGGGATACTACACACTTGCGGCAGCACAGAAACAATCGGTTGCTCCAGGCGCCGAGGCTTCCATCGCCCTCACATACGCACCCAAGACGGTGGGCCATCATGAGGCTACTGTTCTAGTGCGTCCTGTAACCATTACAGAGAAGGTGCAGGACATTACATGGAGATTTCCACTGAAAGGACTCGCAGAGTGGCGTTGCCCAAATGTTTTTCTAAACTATCACTGTGTTGCACGACGACAGTTGGAGGAAACGGTTACACTGCCGGCACCTGGTGTATCAGAAGAAGATAAGGACCGGATCACAGTAGAGTTGGAATTGGAGCGGAAACAGGAATACAGCAAAACCATTCAATCAAGTTTCCAAGCTAAAGTACTCACATTTGATGCAAATAAAGGGGTGATATCTCTAAACTTACGATTTGCACCTTTACGTCCATTTGTAGCCACAGCTGATCTTGTACTTCGCTGTGAAAGAGGCGCTACATGGCGTTATCCCATTAATCTTGATGCTGTGCGAGCGGAGTATGATGACATCTTGACTATTACGGCAGCTTTACACACTGCCTCTGCTGTTACATTTGATATGTATAATGCATTTCCTCACAGCTCTCCATTTAGCGCCTACTTCACTCCTGAGAGTTCTCGTGATTTATCTGTCACAGTTACGCATGGTGTACTTCGTCCATTTATTGTTGGACAGAAGAATCCAGGCGCTGCAACACCACTGCAGGTGCAGTTCGCCCCTTCTGCACGTGTGCCGCAGGTAGAGGGAACCCTTATTGTTGATACAGAGGAAATGCAGTGGTCCTTTAAAGTAGTAGGCAAACTGGAAAGCCGCTCTGTCGACGGTAAGAAGGTACAACGTATGTAGATAATAGTGTCATGCACACAATGTAAACGTGAGAGAAGAATTAAGAAAAAAAGAAAAGAAAAAAAAAAGAGAAAATTGGCATCCTGATTTTTCGTGAAGAGAATGTCTTTCATTTACTTCATTCTCTCTCTCTCTCTATATATATATATATATGTGTATGTGTATTTGTTTCTTTTACTTGCATGCCTGTTTGCGCGCTTTGGTGTATGCTGTAACCATTTCTTTCTTTTTTTCTTTCTTTCTGCTCTAATATTATTATTTTGTCTTTTTTTTGTTTTTACAAGACGTTTGTCTTTCTTTTTCTATTAATCCCTCTTAATCCCTATTTCTTTCCATCTCTCCTTTTTTTTTTCTTTTCTCTCTCTTTCTCTCTCTCCCTCTTATTCCTGATTTTCAACCATCCATAATAATGAATCATTCCTTATGATAGCAACAGGAAGTGTATGGACGACTGGGAAAAGGAGTATGAGGAGGACCGGCGGCGGCTTGCGTTGGGCCAAGACATCGTTCTCAACGGCCGCCGCGGTGATTTAGATGTAAACCCGTTTGAAGAGAAACCACCCGTGGCGTCTACTGTTCAGATGGCACTTGAACATGCCACGACTGCCGTTGTGGCGGAGGGAGCGAAGAAGACATCCTCACTGACGGATTTGTCCCCGGTGATGTTTAAGCCAACTGTGATGCCGGAAGAAATTAGAGGACCAGACACTATTGTACGCCGTGATGATCAGGCGGAAGTGGCCGATATATACGCTCACTATAATAGTAATAATAATAATAATAATGGTGATGATTTCTACTCGAGACGAGAAGGTATTTTTCATGATGGTGACACTGAGGTACATGAACGATCTCTTTTAAAGGATGACCGGTTTGATCTTCCATGTCTTTCATCAGGATGGAGTCTTCACAGCCTTTTTAAAACGAAAATAGGTAGAAGAATTTTTTTTGCTGAAGTTGTTAATACGACATTTAAGGGATTTATCTCTGGTAAGGAAGCATTAGTTGGATGTTTTGTGACTCCAAATTGTCTCTACATTGGTGATGTGGAAACAGGTGCACTGATCATTTGTATTGATATTATGCGACTTTTTGAGGTGTTCGTTTTCAATGACGTTGCGATTGGCCTACGAACGATGGATGCCCTAGATCTACACTTGCAAACATTGCAACACACACAACAATTAGTAGATATTCTGCAAAAAATAGCAACTTACTGGAAAGCAAAGATGCATGTAATCCGGTCCACTGCAGAACGTGAGAAGACGTTTAAAAAAGAGATGCGATTGATTGATAAGAAAAGTTACACATGGACACTCGCAGAGGATCCCCGCACGGGACTTCGCATTGTTCATGTGACTGGGCCTTTCCTGACACCTCTTGCACCTGTTGCCGCGAAGATACTTCATTGGTTTGGCAACGTGCAGCAACCATCAAAAGATTGGAAGGGCAGTAAGGTGCGACAGCGGCGTTGTGCGTGGATCACCGCCACGTGTTTTTTCGTATCGAAGGCGGAGGGCCCCGGCGTTGATGGCCGTGGGATTCGCCACTGCGTGGCTGTGGAGTACATGACGGAGCTCTTCGTTGGCCCCGGCGGGGAGTTGGGCGTCGCGGCTCTGCGCGGGCCGCTGCAGCCGACCGTCTTTGTCGTCTTCGACTCGGAGGCGGAGCGGAATGCGGTGGTGTTTCTCCTGCAGGAGTGTTATCACTACCGGCATGCGGGGGGTGGGTCTATTAGGGTGACGCCTGTGGAGAGCGTGGAGAGGAAGATTAGGGATGAGAAGAAGATAAGTGATTGGCGACCACAACTCTTTCTTATGCGTCCACAGAAGGAGTTGTATGAGTTTTTGCGAGGTCCTTCTGTAAAGAAGTAATGCACTCTTCTTTTTCTTTAATTATTGGTTTTTTTTTTTTTTTTCTTGCTTTCTCTCTGTATTTGTCTGTGTGTGTATGATTTAGCATTTGCTTCCTTTTTTTTTTTCTTTCACTGCAAAGGGGAAAAAAAAAGGAAAACTAACAAAGAAAGAGAAGATTGACAGGATCTGCTTCATTCACTAATTCGCTCTCTTTTCTTTGTTTATTTCTCCTTTCTTTCCGCGCTCTCTTTCATTTAACATTATATATATATATATATATATATATATGAATGTGTGGGCGTATTTCATTCTCTGCCATCTTGTTTATTTTCTTCATTTATTTTTATGCTTCTTTCCCTGCGTGTGTATTCGTAGAGGGGGATCTGTGATACTGTCTTGTTTTCTTTTCTTTCCACACTTTCTGCGTTATCGTGGTGTGATATATTCAATTTGCCTTTCCACTTCTTTTTAAATAAACAAGCAAACAGGGAAAGAGGAGGAGGTGGTGGTGGGAGGTACAGTCAACGGAGGTGAAAAGAAAACAAAAAAAAGAAAAAAGAAAAATATAATCAGACGATTAAAACGTAAAAAAAAAAGTGGGAAAATGCGTCGTGTGTGTTTGTCGAAACGCACTCAAGTGGGAACAGTTCCACAGTTGGCCTTGCGCTTTAACAATAACAACAACAACAGCAGCAGCAGCAACAACCATAGTAACAGTGGTAATACTGTGGGTGTGGAACTGCCCGATCCACCATATGCTTTGCCTACATCCTCTCGATTTGATGCTGAAAGAGGTGGTATGTTTGATAAGAATTGGTTACTGCAGCTTCCAAAACAGAAACCACTACTGCGCAATAGTGTGTATTTACCAAGTAAGGAAGAACTATGGAGAACACCAGCGTATCAAGGACTGGAGATCATAGCGGAAAGTCTTCCATACCATGACGTTCTTCGTTACATCATGGAACACAATTTCTTTTTCTTATTTAAAACACTCCTCAAATCACGTGATGCACCACTCCCACATGTGATGTATGAGGATTTCATGAAATGCCGAACCTTTTCATCATTGCAGAATCCACCTGAAGAACAGTTTGCGTTATCACCCACGCTACTCCGTTCACTCCTCTGTATGGCAGCACATCAATGTATTCTCGATCCACATTACTTCACCACATGCCAAATGCTCTTTCGACGTATAGAACAACAACAGAGTGTTTCATCGGAGGTGTTGTCAGCATGGGTGTACTGTTGTGCCGCTAGTGGAAAAGTGGATGATGCACTCACATACGCCAAATATATGGCAGATCACGATATCCCGTTTGACGAAACGGTCTTTTCTCTCATGCAACATCCCTCTATTGATCCTGTGGCAGCAGAGCACAATGCTGTATCGCACGCTGCAAAGGGTCTCTTGCTGCAGCGTCGTCTGAGTGGTCGCTTACATACAGTCTACCGCAGTGATAGTGTGGCCGCACACGGTATGTTTGTCTTCTATGCATTGACATTAAGTCACGCCAAAAAATGGGAAGTAATTCGCGCTGCAGCTTCACTTGGTGTGGGACTCACAGAGCGGACTCTCTCATTAGCGGTTGAAGTGTACGCCCGTGAAAAGGGATTACGCTGCGGCCCAAAGACCGTGAAAGCCTTTTCTCTCTTTCTTGCGCGTGATGGAACGGTAGGAAATCTTCTCTATGTACTTCTCCGTACGAGAAAGAATGAACTGTTACCAGACTTTCAGGGATTAGCAAAGACCGCCTTTAGTGTAGAGGAACAGAAAGAAATACTACACTGTGTGGAGTATAGGGCGCGGCGTGATGAAGGCTTTGCGGCCGCACGTTCGCTTCTCTCCACACTCGTAGGGGAGGATGAACCACATGAGCTCTTTCGCGCCCTCTCACACACTGTGCGGGCAAACAACAGCTCTGGTACAGCAGATGTGGGTGAGAGTGATGAGAGTTCCAACATGAATGCAGTGGTAACATCTGTACAATCAATATTGCGGGATGTGGATACATTAGATAAGGCAAGTAGTAAGGCATCAACAACACCAACAACATCAGTTGCTGCTGGACGTGGGGTTGAAAAGACTGGGGAGTATCGTTTCACCGTGAAGGATGAAAATGTACTGCAAGAGGAACTGGAAAAATTGTATGATTGTAATCTCCCAACTTCTATGCGTGAACTTGCGCAAATGCACATTCTTGAGGAGGCAGAACTCGCGGAAAGAGTTAAACGACTTTCTGAAGCGTGGGTGAATCCCGATAGTTTATAGTGTAAGCTGATGCCTCATTCTTTTTGTTATCTATTCCATTCTTGCACACACACATATATATATATATATATATATATATATATATATATAGGTTGATACATGGTTATTGCTGAGAAGTTTTTGTATCCTTCTTTGATGTACTAATTCTCTCTTTTCCTTTATATATACATATGTGTATCTCATTCTTTTTTTTTTTTTAAATGTATTTCTTTATTTTCTGACAGCAGCAGTAATGACATCATCCACATGGGCTCTCTTGTCTAGACTGGAGGTCTATCGAGAAGCTGAAGAACAACCAGCACCGCTGCCGCCACAACCGTATCCTCCGCTATCAACTAACAAAGTTCTCAGTCGACGTATGTCGTTATACCAGAAAAGAGTGAAGGAGTTGGAGCTTGAGAATAATGAACTTCGGATGAGATTTGAAGCGGTGCAGACATCACCAGCTGCAATGAATACACGAACGAGCGCCAGTGTTTTGTTGGGATGCCAACAAATATTGCGCGAATGTTGTCGTATACTACAGACTGAAGGAACAGAATCACATGAGGCCTTAAATGTGCGTAGTACGATAGTGCGTGCTTTGGAGGATCTCTTTTCTATACGTTCCTTTTGCAATACCTTTAGTATTATGTATGCTGAGTACCACCAGTTAAAGAAGGATGGGATTCAGCTTGTTTTGGAGAACTACGTTGGAGATATTTCCCCAGAGAAGGTGCAAATGCTGGCGAAAGAAATCTTACTGCGATTTGAGTTTCTCATAGAAAGAGTGATGCGATCAATAGAGGAGTACACTTCTCTTCAACGACATCTCTGCAATTCTCTCGGTGAAGTTGTGTCCTGCGTGATATTGCACGTGGGCCGTTATCATGAGAAGCCGCATGCAATTGTACTCTTAACAACGTTGCAGGGCATTGTGGACCAGACATTAAATTTGACTATTTCTACGGAAGAAGATGTTGCCGGTTTCAAGCGGGACGCCGGTGTGGATGAAACACTTCTGAGAAAACTCCACGCAATGAGTGTGGAAATTGTTCCTCAACGTGCATCACTTTCCTTAACTGAACTGCAGACTATGGCTATCGAACGGACAAAGTTAGACTTAAATCAGAGAATCATCAGCTATAACACTCTGGAACAGTCCTTACAGAGGGCTATGGCGATACTGACTGATCGAAAGACTGACTGATTGACTGACTATTATGTATCTATTTTTAACTTTTATATTCCTTACTATCTATTCACCATTCTCCTACCCACCCCATCACTGTAATGGGAAGCGAAAGAAAAAAGTCTCTCTTGGTTTCTCAGTTATGTCATATTGATAAAATTGATGGACGTGATAATTATTTTTTGTTGTTGTTTTTATGGGAAGTATGTATGTATACCGGTATGAATTAGCAACTGCTGTTATGTTCTCAGTTATTTTTCCTTTTCGCTGTTTTTCTTTTTCTTTTTTTTTTTTTTTTTTTTCTTTTCCCACACACTGTACATTAAAATAACGACAATAACAAAAAAAAAAAAAAGCAAGGAATAGAAAATAAGGGATATAGGTTGCAACTGCTTTCTTTTCGATTGCATTGCTCTGTAGAGAAACTAAGAACGGCAACACGAAAGAAAAAAAAAAAAACACTGATTGGGCCCCATTTTTTTTTCTTTTCTATATTTATATATAACCTTCCGCTGTTTTTTTTTTTTTTTTTACCATTTTGGGCTGTTTTTTCTGTGTGGAGGGTCCTTAAACCATCTTACTAACGGCGTCCATCACAGCGATGATCCAGTACGGTGGGGTAGCGCAGTACGGGGCATACCAACAGCGGTATCCGGTTGTTCTTAGCCAAGGAGGAATTGCCGCCATTCCATCTCTTAGTAAGTCGCCAATGATTCGCGATGTCTGGGAGGACAACTTAGAGCAGGAGTTCAGCGTTATTCGCTCACTTATTAAGGACTACCCGTATGTCTCAATGGATACAGAGTTCCCTGGTGTTGTAGCAAAACCTGTGGGTAACTTCAAGGCAACACATGAGTTCTACTACCAGACACTCCGTTGCAATGTAAATTTGCTCAAGATGATTCAGCTAGGGATAACTCTTCTCAATGACAAGGGTGAAGTGCCGGAGAACTGCTGCACGTGGCAGTTTAACTTCCGCTTCTGTCTCACAGAGGATGTGTACGCCCAAGATAGCATTCAATTACTCCGTCATGGAGGTATTGACTTTGACTACTTTGCGCAGTATGGTGTTGAGGTGTCACATTTTGCCGAACTCCTCATCTCAAGTGGCCTCATTCTAAACAGTGAGATCCGCTGGCTTGCCTTCCATGCTGGCTACGACTTTGGTTACTTAATGAAGGTAGTCTGCGGTAAGGAGCTGCCGGAGAAGGAGGAGGACTTTTTGCAGATCTTCCACTCCCTCTTCCCGTGTGTGTATGACATTAAGTATCTTCTCCGCTCCACGGAGCTCTCCCACTCGCTCGGTCTCGATCATCTCTCGGAGAGTCTCCGCGTGCGGCGGTTCGGCATGGCGCACCAGGCGGGCAGCGACTCGCTTCTCACCGGCCACTGTTACTTCAAACTACTCCGCGACTGCTTCGCCGGCGCCCCGCCGCTCTCCAGCAACGGCGTGCTCTACGGGCTCTGCGAGGACGCATCCTCCGCCGCAACTCCAAGCAGTACAACCATTCCGGGCGGAAGCGCACACTCCTTCGCGTCATTCGCAGCAGGGAAGAACGCGGCATTCCCGTCCACACCACTCACACACACCGTGAAGGGACACAACTAGAAGAAGAAGGAGAGAGAGAGAGAGATAGTGTGTGTGTATGTGAGCGAGTGAAAAAGAGAGATGCAAAGGATTAAAAAAAAAAAAATCCAAGAAAAAAGAACGAAAGAGAGAGGGAGAGAGGCAGGGGTCAATCTCACTTTCCCGCGCGTTTTCTGTTTAATCGGTTGTTTCTATTTTCTTGCCCCGTATGCCCTCGCTCCGTGTTTCTTGCATTCATTCTCGTTGCGGTCTTGCTAGAGTTAAGGCACGAACGTACGGGATTGAAGCGGAGTCAGTGATTTACGGGTGTGTTAGAAAATAGAAAAAAAAAACAAGATAAATGACAGACAAGAAAGCGTGAGGGAGAGAGTGAGGGCGGCACATGCGTACAGGGTCGATATGAACGAGGAAAAAAAAAAAACTAGTACAAATACTGAAAGTACGAAAGAAAGAAATTAAAACTGTATATATATATATATATATATATATATACTTGATTCGAAGAAACGAGGAAGAGGAGGAGAAACAAGAAAGAAAAAATGAACAGACCAAATATATGACGGGTTTTCTAAAGAATATGCTCCTTCCACAAACACACAAACAAACACGTACACGTACAAACAAATTTCTTTTTTTTATTTAAACTCTGCACTACTATGAATATATGAATATACTGGTGAATGGGTTCGCCTTGGCTATTATTTCTCTAATGGCATCAGAGCATTCATTTTTATCTCTTTTTTTTTTGACATCCTTTATGTAGTGAATAGGTAATTAGGAGAAAATAGTAGTGGGAAAAAAAGGGCAAAAGGGACGATAATAACCGAGTAACAAAGAAGGACCAAACGAAACCACATGTCGTCAGAGAGGGAAAACACATTGGACTTTTGGTCCAACCCAGTGGATCACTTTCGCCCCAATCTAAAGGCGCTTACACTCTACGCCGATTACCAGTACGTTGTTGACAACTGGCTCCACATAAAGGAGCGGTGGCTATCTCCCTGGTATATGCCGTGGTGGATGCCCATGTATCAGTTTGGTACATGGTACTCGCAGCGTACACGAAACCTCTTTTTGGTGGAGAATCACCTAAGTTACCGTCCGTACAAGTATCGCCGTAATGACGAGGATCGCAAGAACCCGTATTAAGGTACATATTGTGGTAGTAGCAGCGCATTAGGAGTAGGAAACACGAGTTTAGGCTGTGAAGTTATGTGGGAGGCAATACATTACCACATACTCAAGAAAAATAATCAAGATGAATTTGAGAGGAGTACACAGCAAAGTAGGAAAAGAGGAAAAAAAAAGAAAATTCATAAAAAAAAGAGAAAATCAATTGCTTTTGTTTATCTGTCAAGGATCCCGTTTGTTTTCTCTCCCTCTTTTTTTTTTCTTTTTAATCGTATTCTTGTATTCGTTTAGGGAGGGAAAAAAAGGAGGAAGGAGGGGGATATAGTAGCGCTATGCTGTGCCGCAGGTTATGTTTTTCCTTTTGCTGAGAGGGAGGCTGTTGCGTCTGCTGTGCTGCTTGTGTATTTCCCCTCTCTCTATCTCTCTTCACCAATCCATGACGGAAACACACTCTCGTTCACGTTAAAATGAGTGAAGCACAACCAAGGAAAAAAAAAAAAAAAACAAACAATAAAGGGTAGGTGTAGCCATTAAGAATAGTAGGATGACAGAAAACCCAAGTTCTTTACAACTAGATGACAATATCTTGGAGGCACTCGTACACACACTTGCCAATGATCGTAGGATTCGTGTATCTGCATGTCTTCCACAAATTCTCAATGATGTTGCAAATTCTCAGTCGGATGTCGTTTCGTCACGCCGCGGAGAGCGAAAAGGACGGTGGGAACACGCCAGAGCAACTGCATTGGCGGAAATGTTGCAGCGCATATTAAAGAATAATACACGAGCCGAAGAGTGGTGTCATGTAGAAGGTGAATGGAATACATTTATGCGGGATTTGGACTCTGGACGGAGGCAAAACAGCGGAGAACAAAGGGCACTGAAAGCACTTGTTGAACCTGCTATAGAGGCATTATCGCCACTTTTAACATTTCTTCCTTGTAGTGAAAAAGTTGTAGAGGAGAAATTGCAATGGGCTCGAGGGTTCTATGCACGGGCGGTTTTTTCTCTCTTGCGAGTTCATCTCCACGGTGTTGCGGAAACCGAGTTCATTATATGGCTCCGCCGTTATGAGTGGAACGTGGAACTTTCTACATTACTACAGCCTTTTATGAAGAGTGAGGTGGAACCCCTAGAGAAGGAGTTGGCATTTCATTTCCAAGATGGGAAAAAAACTGCCCGGCGTGACCAACCTCAACATTTTTTTTCCTTTCTCCTGCAGATGTATGAACAATATACCATGAACACTTCCACTCATGGCTGGACATTAGTAACTACAATGGGTCATGATGTCTTGAATTTAGTGGCGCTTGGTAGTGTGAGACTTGCGTCAACTGCTGCAAGTGTATTTTGTAATGCGTATGACTGGTTTGAGGGATCTGCCTTTTTAGCAGAGAAGGACTTCACTGTTCATGTTGTAAATTCTTTTATTGATTTTTTGAGTAGGGCAGAGGGTCGTATTCACAAAAGTTCACAATTGCTCTTGGCGGATATTATTTTATTCCCTACTGCATTTCACATCTTTCTTGACTCTGCACGAGTTACAGCTGAGAAATCATTTGCTACAGGTTCACGTGTTCTCTGGCGGTTGGAGTTCCTAGCAGTAGAGACTCCAGATGCATTTAACACCTATTGTGGCACACATCACATGTTGAGATGTTTGGAGGCGATTGTTCGACGACTTTCTGTAGTTTTCACACTTCTTCCCTCCTACGCTGTGAGTCTCTGGGAGCGTACTATTATTCCATCTCTTTCCTCCTTTCTCTGCATGCTTGATAGTGCGGTGGTTGTTGATACCGCGATGCCACTTGGCGGTATTCTTCTCTCTGTGGAGCTGCTGAACTGTGTGCACGTCATGCATGCTGTGGCGGAGGAGTGGGTGGAGCGGCTGCGGGATGTCGCCGCGGCTGCCGCAACACTCGAGCACATCACACAGTGGGAAGGGGAACACACACACCGCACCTCACACCGCATTACGGCGTGGATCACACAACAGATGCGTGGCCCACACCGCACGGTGGGTGATGTGCACACACTCAACACACTACTGCACACACTCGCGCAGGGGAGAACCACCGCCCACGCTATGGTCTCTGAAGAGGTGAAACAATGTCTAGCGCGACTCACAACGGAGGAGGAGCGACGGCAATTGCGTGAGTACTGCACTGCTGTGGGGATGGAGTCTGTCGCCGCCGTATTGCTGCAAATCACAGCGTAAAACAAGAAGAAGAATGATCTGGCAATTCATTCTGTACACAAGAGAAAGAAAGGAAGAGAGAGAGAGAGAGAGATCGCGACTGACACGCGCAGTGGTACTTGTTACACTTTGCTTCTCCTGTGTTGTACGCTGGCAGTTTTGATCGTTTGGGCTTTCCATCACGTGCGGTAATAATGATCAATATATATATATATATATATATATATATATATAGGTTTTTGTTTTGTTTTGTCTGAGTGTATATTTACTTGTAGTTGTTTCCCAAATTGGTTGTTCACTTTCTCTTTCTATTTCTCTCCATTTCAGACACACTCAGACCCACACAGAGAAAGAAAGAAAGAAAGAAAGAGAGAGAGAGATAACTGAAGGAAGAGACTTTATAGAGCCATTATTTTACTTTTTTATTTTCATTTTGCTGCAGGAGCAAAGTGGTTATGAAACGATGCTCTCTATATTTTTTTCGTACAGATAGAGGTAAGAAATCCGAGTGGTTGGATTCAAGTCTTCGAACAACACAGATGCAAACAGAGGCTATCCCTGATAGTGGCACATTAATGCTGCGTGCCCCATTCTTCTACACAGATCAGCAGCGTATCTGCACAACACAAGAGTTGTTGCATCAGATATCAATGTTTTATTGTCCTGATATCTATGCCTATAGTATTTTAAGTGCACGAACTATTCTTTCTGAGGCCCACAAGCGTGGTATTCTAGAAACCACAGTGAATCCAGGAAAATTCTTTGTACATCCTGCAGCACTAATCAGAAATCCATCCATGTTTTCACATTTTTTTGGGATTAGCAGATCTCCTCACTTTTCTGAACTCCTTTCTGGGCTTCTTGCCAGTCATGATGCCCATCATTCTGTGCTTGTGCGGGTTTGCCATTCAAGCGGAGTAGACACAACAAAGTGGATAGCCTTCTTGCGTGGACTATGCCTCTGTATTGCCGTAGGTGATCCATTGATCTCACAGGTAACCTATGTTATGGAGGATTTGCTTCTCGGCAGTGGTGCACATGATGTACTCACCATTCCGGGTGAATACCATGAGAGAGGTATATTTTTGGCTGAGTTGCTCCTAGAGGCGGGAGTGGAATTCGGTTTAATAAGCGTGTTACAACTAAGCTTAAGTATTCATCAACAGTTTTTCACAGAGACTCCATATGCGGTGAGCAAACGAGTTGCCGTATGCTTTACCAGATCTGAGCGACGTTTTCTTGATTGGAACTTGAGATGCCTCAACGGTAAATGGTGGAAGTAATTAATTCTACATAGGGAGTCTTCGGCGAGTTGCCATTACATTAAATTTGGTTCTATTTTTTTTTTTTTTTGTTTGTTTTCTGCTTTATGAAGTTTCATTTATGATATTGAATCGCTGTTGTTGGTGTTCCCTTTTCTTCAAGGGAATTGAGAAGGAGAGGGTGAGAGTTTCCCTTTCATTGTTTTTTTTTTTTTTTCTTCTTCTTCTTCTACAAACTTCTTTTTTTCATCTTTTTTTTTTTTCTTTGCCCGTTCTTCTGGAATGAGAGAAGATATGGAACTGAGTGAATTACAACGACTAGTGGCTGCATTTTACGAGCAGCAAATGCGCTACACCTTCACAGCATCTCAACACCCATCAAACCCCGATGTGTACCGCTTTGTGTTCTCTCGACCCACAAACGCCACACCAGAGTCACCTGTGTACATCACTGCTGATATTTCGCGTGCCCCTGAGCAGGATGACGACCAGGCAGTCCTCTACTGTGCAATGATTGAAGGGTTGAACTGGCCATACTACTTTAGACTACGTGATGGGGTAGTGGATGATGGGGGTTTCTCTGAAAGTCTGCTAGAGAAAGTGGATATGCAGAAATGTAAAGTAAATGAGCGTTGTCTTTGGAAGTAAAAGTTCTGCGCAGTATTATGTTGTTTCTGAGTCTAAGTTGATTTAATAAAAGAAGTCAATCTTTTCTTTTTCTTTTTTCGATGCATATGTCTGAACAATGCTACAATACTTTTTTTTTTTTTTATTCTCTATATCTCTTCCAAAACAACAACAACAACAACAATATATATATATAGACAATACGTCTAGCGAAAGTAACAAAAAAAAAAAAAAATAAGACACCCAGCAATAAGTGAGGAAAATATGCGCAACTATATGACCATTACTCTCCTTTGCGTACTTTTTTTTGCCGCGACAGCCTCCGCCATGTACGTTGAGGATCCGCCAGTTTTAACAGAGGAGTTTGTCGCCAACGTGAATCGGTTGAATGGTGGAATGTGGACAGCAACACACGAAGGCAAGATGAAGCACAAGACGGTCTCTGAGGCGAAACGTCTTATGGGAGTGCATACACCAAGCTCTCAGATTCTCTCTCCACGACGCTTCACTGAAGAGGAATTACGTGTGAAGGTCCCTGATACCTTTGAGGCTTCAGAAAAATGGTCCAATTGTCCTACCATCCCAGAAATACGTGACCAGTCTGACTGTGGTTCCTGCTGGGCTGTGGCTGCGGCATCAGCAATGTCTGATCGCTTTTGCACGATTGGTGGAGTGCAGGATGTTCGTATATCTTCCGGTGATTTAATGTCGTGCTGCACCTCTTGTGGATTCGGTTGCAATGGCGGTTACCCCGAAAAGGCGTGGGAGTTCTTCGCCGATACCGGAATTGTATCGGAGTACTGCCAGCCATATCCCTTTCCCGCTTGTGCACATCATTCGAACAGCTCAAAGTATCCTTCTTGCCCATCGCATGGATACGATACACCAACATGTAATGCGACTTGCACCGACAAAACGATTCCTTTGATCAAGTATAAGGGAAACACCAGTTACTCTCTGAGTGGTGAAGAAGACTTCAAGCGCGAGTTGTATTTGCGGGGACCATTCGAAGTTGCCTTCACCGTGTATGCAGACTTCTTGGCCTACAAGAGCGGTGTGTACAAGCATGTCAGTGGTGGAATGCTGGGAGGCCACGCCGTGCGTCTCGTCGGTTGGGGTGAACTCAATGGTGTGCCGTATTGGAAGATTGCAAACAGCTGGAACGAGGAATGGGGTATGAATGGCTATTTTCTCATCTCCCGCGGGTCGAATGAGTGCGATATTGAAGGGAACGGCAGCGGGGGAACACCAAGTGTTCCACAACCAACGGGCAACTAGTGTAATGACAACGAAAAGGAAAGAATAAAAAAAAAGGTAAAACGTAAGTTCCAGTGAAAATCAATTTTGGGATAGGGGAAAAAGTTTATGAGGCTCTTTTGTTTTGCATCTCTGGCGCTAGGAGCGATGCATTTTAATCTCTGCAAAAAAAAA